TTGCATCGCCTCAAGGTGACCTTGCCTTCAAGGCACCTTTCCTTGCGGCAACACTACCAGGAAGGGCCTTAAGTGTGTATCTATCGATCCCGATGGTTTTCGGAGGTATCAATAAAAGTTTATTTTTTTTGGCGACTTTGTTTGTCCGCGACTGTACAGGATATCAAATGCTCGTGGGCCGTCACCACTGACATGTGGAGGTCCAGGAGGAATTCTGAGCTTTAGTTGTCGAGACCTCCATTTTTTTTTTCGGACCATCAGCAAGACCATCAGCTGGACTAACTAACCGGGTATAGGTCTGGCATTCTATTGCCAGAGCCCCCCTAGTTCACATAAATTCAATCGACGCTGTGGTATCTTTTAGTGATTTCATTCACTAAAGGAAAGTTCCCTCACATGAGCAGCTTCACGTCGCACTGCCCGTGGCTGGTAGGGATATTTCTTGACAATGTCTCTTGCCTAACATGATTAATTAGTACTACTAGACTTGAAAGACAAGGTCGTAGATTCGGTAGAATGCACTCACCCATTGAAGAATCTGCTCTCGCTCCTCTTGAGTTTGCTGAGTGGCATTCTCCAACGAAGCTTCTTCATCTTTGAGGCCCGCATCAGGCACGGGGTCACGGGCGGTCGACCTGAAATGAGGACGGCGCAAGAGGAAGGGCGCGAAAGCACGTGACACCATCCCAAAAGGGGATGGTCCGATCACCGAGCGACAGTTCTGCACCCTGACTTGGCGCACATTGCCAGGTGACGTCTAGTTCTAATGATTATTTTTGTTTCGCCCCCGCTCAGAATTTTCAACAACTATTCACGCCCACATCCACGACAACGATGGCTGGCCACGGAAAACATCTTTCGGATAGGTCAGCTCTGCCGCGTCGAGACAAGGAACCTGATGGTGCGCCAACTTCGCTTGCTGGCCGAATCGACGTTCGGGAAATGGGCTCTTGAGTCGTACGACAGGCCCCAAAAGACCTCGGGAAGAAGAAGAAAAAGTCTTCCGACAAAAACGATGGGTCTGAGAGGCCAACAGCCAAACGCAAGTTTGAAACTGCCGCAGCTTTGGGTACGCGAACATCATCGAGGCGACGCAAGATGTTGAAGGCCTCACGTATCGTCCACGGACCGCGGAAACGTGGGAAGTCTACGAACTTATTCTTTCTTCCGTTCACGCTGCGCTCGGGGACTAGGCGCAGGACATTGTGCAGAGCGCTGCTGATTCGGTGCTGGAGACACTCAAAAACGAGGGGATGAAAGATTTCGACAAAAAGAAGGAGATTGAGGAGGTCACTGGTCCCATCCCGAGTGAGCAGTTCTCACAGCTTGTCAGCCTTTCAAAGAAGATAACGGATTACAACGCTGAAGACGAGTCAATGGCCGATCACGACATAGAGAAGAAGGACGCTGAGATTGATGAGGGAGTTGGAGTAGCTGTCATCTTCGACGAGGAGGAGCAGGAGGAAGAGGAAGAGGAGGGCTTTGAGATTGTTGAAGAATCGTAGGAAGAAGAAGAGGGACAGGAAGCTGCTCCTGAGGGAACCGTCGAGGATGGTGCGGGGGAGGAGCTTATCATAGGAGGCGACTCATCACG